TCATAAAATGGAAAATTTGTACAGATGACCTCATCAGGTTGCAATTCCATTTTTGGTGCCAGGAATGATCAGTTTGGGAGAAATTTATTAAAAAGGGCACACATGGAAAGCACAACATGAAAAGCAGGATCTGTCCCCTTCTTATCTCATTTATTTTGAAAGATTTTTCTTTTTTTGGGGGGGGTTCCAGTTTTATTTCTTGCAATCATTGGGGTCCAAAGGTCTTCCACTTGGTTTAAAAGTCAAGTGGGGAGGAAAGGCAAGCCACATTATTTCATCTAAGCTAGCTAAATAAATAGAACTTTCTTTGCAAAGGGAGACTCATAAACCTATGGCAATTCACCTGTGTAGCCTGGGAGAAGAATCAGTGATTCCTTTTCAAAATCACCAGGCAGGCAGAGAGCCCTGTTCAGGGGATGTGCCTCGCGTCACGTCCTGGACGGGCAGCTTGTATTGTGATGCTTTGCTTATCTCCTCTCATTGACCACAGCCAAGCGAGCATTGTAAGTGCCAGAAACAGGGTTGGGAAATCATCCTCTTTCATCTGCTTCCTAGTTTAGAGGCTCCAAGAACATCTTTGCTTTTCACAGCCAGATCAACATACAAATATTTACAATCGACTATTTCCAGCTAAGAAAACCCGCCACGGGCTCTGAAAGCAAGGGGTGTATGCTCTATCCCATAGATTGCTGTGTGTGTGTGTGTGTGTGTGTGTGTGTGTGTGTGTGTGTTTCAGACTTTGGAAAGTGAATAAATTCAGAGCCCCCAAGGACAGGTAGAGTCTCAGTATCCCCTTGCCCACTGGCTTGGGAGTGTTCTGATCATATTTCTGTTGTCCATAATGTTAGCAAAATATGAACGCATTTACCCTATTCTATGATGGTCATCTTCTGAAATGTCCACAGCCTTGAAAGCTCTGTTCTCAGCTCCATTCCTTAATCATGCTAGAAATGGGGGCGATGTCCAAGGGGAAGGGCAGACAGAATGCACAGGGTGTCACCTGTTCCACATGAGCACGAAAGGCTGTCCAGCCCTGCAGTGTCTCAAAAGTGCACGTTTCTTTGAGAGAATAGGGTGTTGGTTGCTTGGCTAGCCTTGGAAAGCATTTCTTTAAAAACTTCCCTGTTTTGTTTTTCTCCCAGTCAAATTGAATCTGAGCCTTGGGGAGCCCCAGGATCTCAGGGATGGAAGGCTCCCAGAAGATTACATTCTCATCACAAACCCCCAGCCTCACAGGAGGCAGTCGCAGAACAAAATGTGGGATCACATGAGTTCAGTGTGATTTCGCAGAACCTGGTTCTTATTCAGAAAGCTTTTGGAAAAGCAGGAATGCAAAGTGGCCATAGTGTCCGTGGTTCAGATGGGCCTCCCTGGCTGCAAGGCGGAGCCCCAGAAGCTCTCTGCCAAAGGACGTTCTGGTGGCTCAACCGCTGTATAAATGTCACTTAGAAAGCGACAAGCATAAGGTTTAGCATGAAATTGGAGGCTGTCATGTCACCTAGCAAAGCAATGGCACACAGCACTGCTTTAAAAATACTGCCCGGGGGCACCTGGGTGGCTCAGTCGGTTAAGCGTCCAACATCGACTCAGGTCATGATCTCACAGTTCATGAGTTCAAGCCCCGCGTCAGGCTCTGTGCTGGCAGCTCGGAGCCTGGAGCCTGCTTCGGATTCTGTGTCTCCCTCTCTCTGTGCCCCTCCCTCACTTGCGCTCTGTCTCTCTGTTTCTCAAAAATAAATAAACGTTAAAAAAAATTTTTTTTTAATTAAAAAAAAAAATACTGCCCAAAGGCCCAGTAGGATGTGTGGAAGAAGAGCAGAGGCTGCTGGGTGGCCAAGGATCCAGACTGTGGAGCCCAGCCTTTAAAGACATGCCTTGGAATTGCTGCTCCTTTTCAGAGAAGCAGACACTCCAGCACTCCCGAGGGCTGTAGCATGAGTCCCATGACATGGGACAGAGGTCATTTTACCTGCCTGCCAAAGACTGGGTCCCAGCCCACCACTGCTGAAGCTGGCCGAATTTGAGTTCCTGGGGGACAGGGAGGTGATCCAGTGTAGGCTGAGGGTCTGGCCTAGAGCCACCCACCCCAGTTCTTGACCTTGGAGGGTTTTCAGCCGCCCCTTCCCTTGCCCGTCTTGTGCCTCGAGGCATTGGCTGCCTGAGCTGGGACATGTCCGTTGCAAAGTCTCCAAACCAAATTTTTTATGGGGACACATACAAACTCCTGCTCATCATTCCCCTTGTATTCGTTGACTTTTTTGTTTTCCGTTTCTTTTCCCAAGAGATGCCAGTTTGGCAACACGTAGAGCTGCCTCTCTGATTGAAATCTTGGAGACTTTCAGCCATAACTTCACACAGCCCCAGGGCAGTTCTTTTAGGCTCCCGCGCTCAGTGTAATCAGCCAGATAGACTTGCTACACTGTTGGTTTGAATGAAGTCCATTACTCGCCTGTAAGAATTCAGGATGAGGCCAGTACCCACCAGAGACAACTGTCCAGCATCTCCCTCCTACTCTGGGACCTCAGGGGAGAGTATAAATGAATAGAAGAAACAGCAGTGTGGGCAAGGACAGGAAATTAAGAACCCATTGTGCTTGCGAGGATGGTAGCCAAATGGGGCCACCTTGGAATGCCCATGGATCACTTAAAAACCTTCCACCCTAGCAAAAATGTAGACCAGGCCTGGACAATGAAGCCCCTTACGTATTCTTATTTCAAACAGAATATTCAGTATGTATTGGCACTGCTTTGTTGTTTATTTAAGTGCTAATCATTATTCAGAAATGTTTAAGTGCTTCATTTTTATTCCTGAGATAAACCTGATTTAATATTATGTTTAAAAGCGGGGTGGGGGGGGAACCCTCTTCCCTTCTTTAATTTGGTTGAAAACATTCTGCTTTGGCATAGGCTTGTGTTCGTACCTGGGGGATCCCTTTTAAGAAGACACATTATTATCAGAGATAATTTGCCGTTCATTTATTTTTACATGATTATCTTGAACCTACAATTTGAGGTCCTGCTTTTGTCATTTAATGTACCATAAGTGTCATCTGTGGTGCTGTATTAGGGCCGTGATTTCCTGGGTGCATCGTAGTCCACTGAGTGGAGGTATGTCGGTTTGCTTATCTGTGCTTCTGTGTTCATCACCTTCTCCTTTTCTATAATTATGAATAACTCGACCAGAATATCTTCTAGATCTCTCCATATTCTTGTATGAGTCTTAGAGATGTGTTATAAAGAGGATGACTGTGTTTCAGGCCAGGCCTTCTCAGACTTGAGGGTACACGTAGGTCACTTATGGACCTTACAAAACGCAGAGTCTGGCTCAGAGGGTCTGGGCAGGCCTGACGTTCTGCATCCGTAACAAACTCAGGGATGCTGAGGCTTCTGCTTGGGCTTCAGGCAGTCTCTCAAAGTCACCGGCATCCTGGCATCCGGAGTGTTCGCAAGTCCCGGTTTTACCAAGTCCCTGGGTGGGCTAGTTATCAAGGAGCTCTGCCCCCCAGGAACATTGTCCCAGCAAGAGGAACGTTTTGATTAGGCTGGTGTCTGGAGAAGGCAGGGGCTGCGGCTTCCACGATAGTGCCCTAAGCACAATCCTGGCTGACGTTAGAATGACTTGGGGAGTATGCACGTACACACTCCCACACTCACGTTTACTCACACACATACCCATACGTATACATACATACACACTCACATTCACATATACACACATACATACACACACACTCATAATATACACATACACCTACTGACATGCACACACTTACCCAACACACACACACACACACAGTTGCACACGTGCACACATACACCCTCGTACATATACACATATACGTTTGTATACACTCACACACTTATACACACTCACATATTCACACAATTCACATATACGCACACACTAATACATACACACATACGTACATACATCCTCACACATAGCACCTATATGTACACACTCATATATATGCATACACTCCCACCTACACATGCACTCTTGCACACTCACACTCATACACATGCTCCAGACCAGTAGACCATCACCAACAGGATATCTGGCAGCAAGACCTGACCACCAGTATTTTGTAAAGCTTCCTAAGTTTTTCAGGTGACTCCATGAACAGCCAGGGGGTGAGGGCCATTCTTGTAAACCCACAGAAGACCCCCTCTAAACCTCACTGATCTCCAACTGTGTTTTAAACCTGACTGGATGAAAAGTTTGGGGATTATATATGCTACACCCGACCTCCACGCTTTTGACCGTGGGCTTGGCATAGTCAGGAGTGGTCTTTGCAATTCTAAGTATCAATAACCCTAATTTCTAGACGAAAACAAGGCATTTCTCATCGCCGTCTTCTCCATCAGACGCATCCCACGCAGCTCCATCTCCGTGAACGCCACCAAGCCCCAAATCCCTTCCTTTTCCTCACCCTTCTGATCTAAGCAACCATCACGGTCTTGTGTTCCATGCACATGTTTTCCTTATGGAACTCAACGCATTATATTAAAATTCTCTCTTAACATGGCTATGTCTTTCAACCAGACCGTGAGCCCCTTGACATGGAGAAAGGATCTGATGCGCTTTGTTGTTCCCCCACCTAGAGTAGTGCTCATCTAGCACACAGTAGATGCCCATTAAATCATTGTTGAGTGAGAGGAAGAGAAAGAAAGAAAGAAAGAAAGAAAGAAAGAAAGAAAGAAAGAAAGAAAGAAAGAAAGAAAAAGAAAGAAAGAAAAAGAAAAAGAAAAAGAAAGAAAGAGAGAGAGAAAGAAAAGGAAAAGATTTTGATCACACACAAGCCTGGAAAGCCACTCTGATTGTTAAAAGTTTCATACCAGCGTGGTTCTAGCAAGAGCACAGATTGCCTAGATGGTGCCTGGTGCCAGCATGCCTTGGCCCTGGGGCGCGCAAGATGGTAGATAGGATGCCCGGTGTGTGCCGCGTCCCTGCCACCGTTACCGCCTGCTGGAGTAACACCTGCTGTTTCTCTTTGGCAGTTGCCTTTTCTGGCCTTGGCTTCACGACGTTCTACTTGGCTGGCAAGCTGCACTGCTTCACTGAGAGCGGGCGGGGGAAGAGCTGGCGGCTCTGTGCTGCCATCTTGCCCCTATACTGCGCCATGATGATTGCCCTGTCCCGCATGTGTGACTACAAGCATCACTGGCAAGGTGAGTCCCTGCCCGGGGCCCGTTCCCATGGTTGTCTGACACCGTCCTGCAGGGATGGGTATAGCAGGGCACCTATTCAGGGAGAGCCAAGCTCCCACCATCAGACCAGAGGAGGCTGAAATAACAAGAGCTGCGGTTTTAAAGAAAACACGCCTGTTCAAGGGAGCTCTGACCTTCACACTGCCCTTGCTGGGTGTAGACTCGGAGCCCCACCATCTCCTCCGTGCTCAGGTCCTGCCGGGACGGCAGACCCGTGGCCTCAGACCCAAGTGTGATTTCCCTGCCGGATCACTTGCCTCAGCCTGCAGACTTAGTGCCAAGTGATTTGGGGCTCCCGTCACATCTCACATCTGTCACGCAAGGCCATATTTCTCACCACAGAGACACTTCCAAAAGATGTGTCCAGCCCGGGCATCCGTGCCAGCCACGTTCTGAGCAGCTGCTCCAAGGCTGTGGTGAAGCTTACCTATACATGTGACTCCTGAAATACCCGAGAAGAGTGAAAATAACACAAAACAAGTGAGGGACTGGAATAAGACTAAACCACGCCGTCTCCTCCTACAGATAAGCTGCAGCTCACAGCCCGTACCTGCCACAGCAAACAGGGAGCAGACACAGAGGTGATGTCCAGAGGACGTGGGGTGGCCAGGAGCGCAGGATCTAGGGCCGTGTTTCCTGCTGGGCAATCCTCACATCACCTGGAGCAGGCCACCCTGAGTTGGGAGGCCGACTCCGGGGGTAGGTCTGGAGTGGTGGCCAGGAGTCTGCGTTAGCATGCAAGTCTGTTGTTTCTGATGAAGTCTGAGGAGCTTTGGGGAGGAGCGCCAGTGTGTCAGCTTTAAGCAAACTGAATTATATGTGCCCCAAACCAGATTCCCCATCCGTATGGCTTTCCACGATCCTCCTGGGGCTTGTCCCTCCTCTTCTTGCCTGGTTCCTGCTGCCACCAGGCGGTTCCCCTCCTCCTCCTTTTCTGTCTCTGCTGCCTGTGGTTCTGTGCCCTCCTCACCTCATCCTAGCTATTCATTCCAGTGGCCCTGAGGCAGCAGATGAGGCCAGAGGTGAGGGGGGCTCCTAAATGGACATCTTCTCTGGATTCTCTTGCTCCTTCCCCAACCTCAGCTCCACCCACCACCCTCCTAGAGCTCGCACTCCGGGCTTCATGAGCCTCTAGCAGCAGCTTGGAGCTGGGAGTGAAGAGTGTAGGGGAAACAGAGGCTGATGCATGGTCTGGACAGGTAGATGCATCAAGTGCAGTTCAGGGTCTTGAGGCCCTCCTGATGGGGAAGCCACTAGAAGCCATAATGCTGGGTCCTGCGCCCTCCCTTGTGGTCTACTTTTATCGATGACTTGGATGAGGTTCTGGATAGCACAAAGCTACATCACGGAAGGGAAACAGAGAGAGAGAGCAGCAGAAGGGCATGCCCACAGCGCCCGGGAATATTTTCCAACAGAATCATTGTTGTCCAGATGATGAGGGCGATTCCCCAGGGTCCTTGTGGGTCAAGAACATCATGGCCTGGATGGTGTCTTATGGACTGCTTTTCATTTATATCCCTTGCAAACTGAAGTTTCTTCTTCTGAACTTGGAAACAATAACCCCCAAATATTTCACATGCTATTTCACAGACTGAATGAAATAATGGATCTGAATGTACTTTGTAAGTGAAAACATATTACACAAATGCAAATTGGTATTGTTGTCTCTTCGTGCATTGTTTCTAAAGAAGGATATGTTGTGTTGCCCAAACAAGTGATTTAGAGGCAGATGTATTTTTGGAACGTGGTCTATTTCTTTTAAAATTTAAATCCAAGTTAGTTAACATATAGCATAATAATGGTTTCAGGAGTAGAATTTAGTGATTCATCACTTACCATGTAACACCCAGTGCTCATCCCAACAAGTGCCCTCCTTAATGGCCATCACCCATTTAGCCCATCCCCCCAGCCAACACCCTTCCAGCAATGCTGTTTGTTCTCTGTATTTAAGAGTCTCTAATGGCTTGCCTCCCTCTCTGTTTTTCTTATTTTTCCTTTTCTTCCCCTATGTTCATCTGGCATGTTTCTTAAATCCCACAAACGATATTTATCTTTCTCGGACTGACTCATTTCGCTTAGCATAATACATGCTAGTTCCATCCACGTTGTTGTAAATGGCAAGATTTCATTCTTTTTCATCACTGAGTAGTATTCCATTGTGTGTATGTGTATGTATACACACACACACACACACACACACACACTGCATCTTCTTTATCCATTCATCAGTTGATGGCCATTTGGGCTCATTCCATAATTTGGCTATTGTTGATAGTGCTGCTATAAACATTGGGGTGCGTGTGCCCCTTTGAGTCAGCATTTTTATATCCTTTGGAATGTGCCCGATCTTGTCTGATCTCGGAAGCTAAGCAGGGTCAGGCCTGGTTGTGCTTGGAAGGGAACATGGTCTGTTTGTAAGCTATGAACCCTTGGCTTGCACGTTTATTCAGTCACTTTGGATTTGAGAAACGATTAAGGGTTTCACAATGGAATAGACCGCTGCTTCCTCTTGGAAGGCAGGAAGAGCCTTCATGTAGCAATCTTGTCCTGAAACCCGAAGACGTGAGGTTGGCCTCTCTGAAATAGTTTTGGTCCTCATGACCTTGGTATGGCTGGTGCGTCATGGAAGGATGAAGACTCACAGTCCTAGGCTTTGTCACAGTGGTGGACTCATGACGCAGCTGGTGCATCAAAGGCCTGCTGGCATCAGGGCTTCAGACCCGTCTCATCCACCTGGCACACAGAGGAACTTGGAGCAGTAGAAGGAGGATATTAATGCTCTGTGGGCTGATGGGCAAGTGAAGCAATAGAATTTACGTTCCACGACATTTAGGGCCACGCCTGAGGGGCAAAGCAACCTGTCACGGTAGACCTCCATGACATTCAGGCAAAACTGAATGTACATGGTACATCGATGTCCATTGGTACAGGTCATTGCTGTGGGTCAAGTACCAGTTCACCTGTGCCATCATCTGTTCAACTTCTACCCCTAGAATTAGCCAGGAGAGGACTGTGCCCTTTCTTGGATTCTTTAATGGGCTCTGAAACAAGTCCGGTTCATTTTACCTGAATTCCCCTTTATGAGGCCATCTGTCACTCTCTACACCAGTGGTCTCAACAGAGGGCTGACTGCTGTACCTCCCAGGGAACACTTAGCAATGTGTGGAAGTTTCTTTTTGGTTTGTACAGCTGGGGGTGGTGGTAATGGTGATTGCTCCTGGCACCTAGTGGGGAGAGGCCAGGGATGCTACTAAACATCTTACAATGTACAAGATCACATCTTCCTCACAACAAAGACCTATCCAGCCCCAGATGGCTGTTGCTGAGGTCGAGAACCCCTGATCTACAGTGTACCTCAGCCCCCCCTTTTTCCCCCTTATTATATGTTAAGAAGCAGTAGTGTTCGAGGTGCCTGCATGACTCAGTCAGTTGAGCATCCAACTCAGGCTCCATGCTGAGGGTGGAGCCTGCTTAAGATTCTCTCTCTCTCTCTCTCTCTCTCTCTCTCTCTCTCTCTCTCCCCCTTCCTCCCTCCCTCCCTCTGTCTTTCTCCTCCTCTCACACACACACTCTCTCTCCCCGCTCTGTCTCTCTAAAAAATAAAGTAGCAGTGTTCAATGAGTGGGAAATTTTATTCAGTAAACACTCACTTATTAAGGGAGTAATCAAGGAGGCCTCCAAGGTTTCCAGCTTGGAGAAGGGATAGACAGTGTGGGGGTGGCTGTTTGAGGCAGGATTCCTGATGGAGATAAATAGGTTGTTGTTTTTCTTCACAGACTGAGCCTGCCCAGTGACCATGGGCAGGGGCCGTCCATTATGATGAGAATTCACATGGAGCCCCATAGGCATCAGAAAAACATGAATTTCTCTCATTATAGACTTTAGTTAACAACATTAGTATTATGAGATTTTTACGAGTCCATTTCAATTTTGATTTATACAACCGTGCCTAATGGAGAAGTACGTCCAGTTACTCAATTACATATTCTTATCCAATATAGCTCATAATCCCAAATGCCTTACTCTTTTCATCATCATTGTTGTTTTCTGTTGTCAACACCCTTCTTGTCTTTTCCGTCTTCCCAGCTGCACTCTAAATATACCAGCCTATTGTTTTATTAAGTGAAGAAAATGGAGGACACAGGCCATGGCAGGAAGGGGCACGTGAAACATTTAGCAGGGCTTTTTCAGAAATAAAACCAGCTAGATGGGTAGCAAATCTGTGTGTGGCTGAAGTTCTCCATGTTTGGTGACATGCTGGCTTCCAGGTCAACTGGAAGCTACAGAGTTTTGTGGGTGATGCTAACTATAAAACCCAGCACCTCGTAAAGAGGTTTACCTTTGTGATTAGTCATGTGTTTTCAAGAGTTAAAATTTATGGAATTCCCATGCTAAGAAAAATATATGTGGAAAAAAATATAAAGAAGGAGAAGAGCATCCTACTGAACTTCCTTCTGCCTCAACTCATAGTGTTGTGTGTTCATGTTTTCTAGTCAGTGAAATATTACAGCTGGGAGTCGCAGGAATTATAGTTTGTTATGTGAATGGGCGTAATACGCTGCCCTCAAATTCCTGTATCTGGATCCAGGCTTTCCTTATGTGACTCCACCTTTGGGGGTAACCTTCCAACTGACACTGGTTTCTTTAGTTGTAATGTCATTCTCAGCAGCCCTGCTTACTTGTATGGTGTTTCATTCTAAGAAAGAGCATCTCCCTCTGAATGAAATACAGGAAAATGGGTTTCCAGGGGAGAAAGGTCCTTCATTCCCAACCAGCCCAAGTTAGAAAGCATCCTTGTCAGTCACAGATGCCATATTTGAGCGGGCTGAAGTTTTCAAGATGGCTGCCACTGCCTTCACGACATTTCCCTTACTGGGCTGTGAAGCGTCTGTGATTTGAAATGAATTTTTGTGTAGTTACCAGACTTGAGATTATTAGATGTGAAGATGAGGTGGTTGGGA